GTAAACTGTTCCAGAAAGATCCAATAGTGCCTTAGATCACTCAGCTAACAAGTGGTAAAAACAGGAGTTCCAGAGCTTTACGATATGCCTTGGTTCAAGCAAAGAAGACCGCTATAGTACAAGAGTACCTCACACAGCCCTCAAATATTTTCTCTTGCATTCTACTGGAGTCCCAGGAGAAAACTAAAAAAAGATAAATTAACACCTATTAAAGAAATCAGATATGGTAGTATATGCCTGTAATCCTACACTTTGGGAGGCAAGGTAAAAGGATCACAAATTCAGTCTAAATAATTCAGCAACTTACCAAGACCTTGTTCAAAATTTTAAAAAAAAGGAGCTCCAAGGATATAGCTCTGTGGCATAGTACCTGCCTGACAAGTGTGAGGTCCTGAGTTCCATTCCTGGTACCAAAAAATAAAATAAAATAAAAGGCTAGGGATATAGCTCAGTCTGAAGGCCCTGTGTTCAATCCCCAGTACTACAAATAAATAAATAAGCCCTATCTAAAGGGACAAATCCACTTTAGGCACAGGGTGGGGGTATTTGATATATAAGCAGACACCTAAAGAGAAGGAGCTGCTCATAATGACACAGGGGAGAAAGGTCCCCCCCAAAATACTTTAAATACTTGATAATACATTATTTTTTTAAAAAAAGAAAGAAAAAAGAAAAAAGAACAGCCAGGTGTGGTGAAGCAAACCTCAGCACTTGGGAGGCTAAGGCAGGAGGAACATCCCAAGTTCAAGCCCAGGATGGGCTACAAAGCTGAAGAACAGTCTGAACTACATTTTGAGACCCTGTCTCAAAAAATAAAAATAAAAAAGAGAACAAAGCTGGGTGTGGTGGCACACTCCTGTAATCCCAGCGCTCAGGAGGCTGAGGCAGGAGAATCACTGCAAGTTCGAGACCAGCCTAGGGCACAAAGTGAGCCAAAGGCCAGCTGGAACTGCATAGTGAGACCCTGTCTCAAAAAGACAAAGAATAAAATAAAATAAAAAAGAGGGCAAGCCACATGTGGTGGCATATGCTTTACTTAAGGGACTTGTGAGGGTAAGACAAAATGATTGTAAGTTCAAAGCCAATTTAGTGAGACTCTATGTCCCAAAGTAAAAAAAAGGACTGGGGTTGTATCCCAGTGCTGCTGGAGCACTTATTTGCCTGGTATCATGAGGCCTTGGGTTTAATGTTTAGTTACTGGGAGGGAAAGAGAGGGAAGGGGAGGAGAGAGGAGGAGAGAAGAGGAGAGAGGAAAAGAAGGGAGAGAAGGAGACAGGAGAGGGGAACGGAGGGGAGGGAAAAAAGAAGAGAGGCAAGGTTAGGGGCTGACAGTATTCCTCAGTAGTATGCTTAGCATGGCAAGACTAAGTTAAGTTCAATTCTCGGCATCTAAAAAGAAAGAAAAATAGAACCCAAAAAACTTTGAAACATTCAAGTAGTAGAAAGATCAGAGAGGTTAGAATAGAATGGGAAGTCCAAGATAAACCAGGCAGGGCAAGAGAATGGAACTGCTTGGAATGTTATTTTACTGCTGAGAAGTCACTGATGGGCAGTGGCACAAGCCTGTTGGGGCTACACACTACACGTCACCCCCACCTGTGCTACTGGGGAAGGAAGAACCTGGTAGGTAGACAGTGAGTGGCAGTGGCAGTCCAGGAAAGTAGACAGGTAGATTCTCCACTGTGGAGAATCTCTTTGGCCTTATTAGTTCTTCTCCATACCAGCTGTCTAACTAGTATCAACTCAAAATTGCTTTATCTCACTGGGAGTCAGAAAGCCAGATTATCCCACAGTCTGCAGCTTGTGCCCTAGACACAGTAGATCCTCAAGAGGGAGGTGGAGACAGCAAATTGACAATTAGACACTTTCACTTTCATTTAAACCTCCCAGTTCTTTGCTACATTTTTTAAAAAAATTTATTTTTTTGGTGCTGGAGATCAAACACAGGGCTCCACATATATTAGCAAGCATTTCACCACCGAGTTACACCTCTGGCTCTATTTTTTTCTTTATTCCCTCATTAACTTTAAATCTCTTCAGATCAAAGCACTTTCCAAAATGGCCAACAACAGCATAAACACCAGAGCAAGTCAGAACTAAAGATGTGTAGAAGACCAAAATGCAAATCTTCTCTCTAACTATGTACACACAATAAACCAAGGCACCAGGAAAGTGAAACCTAGAGAAAAAAACAGATAAACCTGAGAATTGAAAACACCATCACAAGAAGGGAACCTTTGAAGTCAGTCATGGTGGTACATGTCTGTAACACCTGCACTCAGGAGGCTGAGACAGGAGAATTGTTGCAAGTTTGCAACCAGCTTGGACTACAAAGAGAGCTAAAGGCTAGCCTGAACTGTATATAGCAAGACCCTTTCTCAAACAGACAAAAAAAAAAAAAAAAAAAAAAAAAAAAAAAAAACTGTGGGAGAGAATCTTTGAAACTGTTCACCCAGTTGTGGTAGGAGACTGTCCCTCTCCAAAGATGCAGGCTCTAACCTCTGGAATCTGTAAATATGCTATACTATGTGGCAAAAGAACTTCGCATGTATAATTAAGGATACACACTTTAAACTGAGCAGTAAAAAGCAAATTTTCTCCAGCTAAAGTCAGAGATGAAGCCAAAGAACTGGATGCTGCTAAAAGCACACAGAAAGCATGAGAAAAAAAAAAACCTCTAGGGAACAAAAAAAGTGACCAAATGACCCTTAGCAAACGTTCAGGAAAGAGGACAGTTTAGTTTTATAAGTGCAAGGAACTGAATATGGCCAGCAACCCTAATAGCCTTGGGAACAGATTACATCCCAGAGCCTCCAGCAAGAAATGCATCTTGCCAACTTCTTGATTTTAGCCATGTAAGACTCAAAACAGAAGACTCACTTAAGCCTATCTGAAACTCAGATCTACAGAAATGAGTGGGTAACAAAACCCTTTTTATTTTTTTAAAGACAGTCTCACTGTGTAGCTCAGGCTGGTTCTGAGCTCACTATGTGGACCAGGCAGCCTTGGGCTCACAGCAATCCTCCTGCCTCAGCCTCCCAAATGAATTACAGACTCTAGCTAATCTGTATTTTTTTTTTTTTTTTTTTTTGCTTTTTCCTTTTTTATCGGTACCAGGGATCAAACTCACGACTGCCTGCTTGCAAGGCAGGCGCTTATGCTGCTGAGCTAAATCCCCAGCCCCTAAATCTGTATTTTAAAGTGCAATATGTGTGGTAATTTGTTACGACTGCAACAGAAAAATAATGCACAAGGAAAAAAAAAAAAACTCAGTTCTCCTAGAAAGCACAAAGAAGCTGAATTATGAAGTACCTGGTCAGCCTCAAACACTCAAAACTCTTCAATCTTCCCTCCAGCCCTCTGACACTTCTCCAGCCTTTCCCCATTGCCTAGCGATAAGGAAACATTCTTCTAGTTCTTCATTACAGGGCTTTCCCAAAGAGGAATCCTTGCCCTGGAGGCTTTTCTAACAAGAGTCCTCAGGTGGGTTATCCTTCAAGAATTATCAACAAAACACTGTTGAGGATTCTGCAATATCCAGAGTTACCCAGAGGCTATTCCATAGTAGTGCTTGAGCCACTAATGTTTCAGTTCCTACTCCATCCTCTGTGGTTTCCCAGCATTCACCCCAGCTTCCTTCCTTCCACAATGCTTCACCCCACCCCCTCCATCCAGTTAGTCATCAAGAATTGTCCGCACTCTCTCCTTTCTCTACAATCTGTCTTCCTCTTTCAGTTTCTACCAGAGTCTAAAACGGGCTTTTATAATCTTTTGCCTAGTCATTCCACGACGATTTTATGCAAGTAACATGATAAAGCAGAGACCTAGCCCTGGAAATACAAGGATGAAAAGGGACAGCTCCCTAAGTCCCAAGAGCACAAAACTCCACAAATGACGTGCCTGGTCTCTCAGTCCTTGATTCATCTCCGGGACTTGGAAGATCTTCCGAACACTGGCAATTTCCAAACTCAAAGCAGGCCCCATGCCAAATACAGGCTCAATTCCTTAGTGCAACACCTACTAGAAACGTGCTAGCACCTGCTCACCTTCATTCCATTATATCCCCGAACTTCCTTACTCCATAACTCCAGAACCCTCAGCCTACAACAAAGGTCCTTCATGCAGTAAGCACTCTCAATTCTCAATCTTCTGTTTGGTCCTTCACACTTCTGCTGGTCACCTACTCCTCAAGGCTACTCCAAGCCTACTCAAGCTAACTGTATCTTTGCAGGAAGCACCCTCCCTCCAAGAAACCACAACATCACAGAATACTGGCAATACCGTATAATGTTTGTTCCTTAACCTGTAGTGGCATCTCCCATGATAAGAGGCTGTCTCTGGCTATTTGGTGACAAACGTAAGCGCAGTAAAAACTACTAAATGAAACAAGTAGTGAACAAACTGGAGTTCGGATGGGAGGCGCATTAACCCCACGTCTTCCCTCCCTCCTCCAGAATCTATGCTCGCTTCCTGACAGCGGCTTCCTGCTACCCTTTAAACAAGCCCAAGCTCCGTTAGATTTTCCGTTCCTTCGGCTCATAACTCAAGCACCTCCCATATTCATCTTCTATCAACCCTCTTCCAATTTCTTTCTCTCATCCTGATGCACTTCTTGAAGAAGCCACAAAGCATCTAGCTTTGCTAAAACCACTATGGATGGCTGCCTCCCATTTCCGAATTCCGTATGAATCAAAACCAGGGAAAGTCTTCACTCAAGGCACACAACGAATGAGAAAGCTCAGGACGATGACTCATAAGCTACAGCTCCTTGGTTTGCAGAGTTCTGCCCTAAGAAAGCTAACAAGCAGTCCCTGTCCGCCAACAACAAAGGGAGCAATCGAATAAGGCTACGCCTTATAACTCACGCGGGTTAAGGGAGCCCTCGAGACCCTGCCTGGTTTCCCTGCCGGGGTTTCTACTTCAGGTCCAGCCCCGGTCTCGCCCGCCGCGCGAGGACAGACCGTCTGATCATCCTGCCATCCGTTCCGGCCCCTACTCACATTTGACTGACCAGCTTCTGTCTGAAAGCGGCGCTCCGCCAGTCAGTCTCCTGCCCCGAAACGTCCATACCGGTACTCCAGCCCTAGCTGCCCCTGTCCCACTCGGCCACCGCCGCCTCTACTACAACCAGGCCCAAACCCGGAAGCCTTCCAAGGCTTCTTGGCTGAGCCGGAAGTAGAGAAGGAATTGTGGGAAAGAGAGTCGCGCGCGCGGGCCTGTGGGAAATAGAGTTCTCTACTTTTCCCGGGCGAGGCTTCCAGTTTTAGGCTCTCCCTGGAGCTTTGCACTCCTTACCCGAGTACTGTCTTGCGTAGCCTGGATCCCAGATGTGCAGACTGGGGAAATGGTGGCTGTGTGGAGTTCCTGGTGTTGCGACAGGAATTGCTGCTGTCTTGCATTTCCTGCAACCCTTCTGTGGGCTAGTCTCATTTAGTCCCTGAGGGAAATGAGCCAAGTGGCCAGTTGTGTATAGGGATGCTTGAGAAGATTTAGTTTAGTTTGGTTTGGTTTGGTTTGGTTTGAAATCAAGGGTGGCTTGGACTGCATAGCTAGACCCTGTGTTTAAAAAAAAAAAAAAAGAAAACAGTTTGATGTTCAGCCTTCCACTACCATCTGGGCTGTTTGTTCTCCACCAAGTAGACAAGGTGGAAAGATAACAGAAAAGCTCATAAAAATAATAAATACCAACCAGGTGCGGTGGTGCATGCCTGTAATCCCAGATACTCCGGAGGGAGGCTGAGGCAGGAGGATCACAATGAAGGATTTCTGAGTCTGCGGATCATTTTTTTTTTGAGACAGCGTCTCACTATGCAATTCAGGCTGGCCTTCAGCTCACACTGTAGTCCACGCTGGCCTCAAACTCACAGCAATCCTCTTGCCTCAGCCTCTCAAGTGCTGGGATTACAGGTGTGCACCACCACTCTTGGCTCTGAGGATACTTTTAAGAAAGCTGTGTACACCCTTTATCCCTTAGCACTAGGTAGGAGATGAGGGAAGGGATGACCAGGTTCCTCAGAGGAAGGCCCTCTTGCTAACAAAATCTTGCATTGATGTGAAAACTATCCATATCTTCAAATATTTTTACTGTTACTCTCCCAAAATAGCTTTTAAAAGAAATTCTAAGAGGGCTGGGGATTTAGCTCAGTGGCATAAGCACCTGCCTTGCAAGCCTGTGGTCCAGTATTTGATCCCTGGTACCAGTAAAAATACAAAAAAAAAAAAAAAAAAAAAAAAAAAGAAAGAAAGAAAAGAAAAGAAACTCTACGTAGGCTGGTAAGTGTGTTCTGGTTTGTCCAGAACTTTCCAGGTTTTAAAAAGCTATGAAAGTCTTAGGGGCTGGGGATTTAGCTCAGCGGCGTAAACGCCTGCCTTGTAAGCAGGCAGTAGTGAGTTTGATCCCCGGTACCGATAAAAAGGAAAAAGACAAAAAAAAAAGCTATGAAAGTCTTGAGTCCCCACAACCCCCTCAGACCCAGGCATAAATGCTTTTTTTAAAATGTCAGAATGGTTGATTATACTATCTGTACTTCTCTTGCACATTTTTATTATTGTATAATTCACATACTATATAATTTGCCCTTTTAAAGTGTGGAGCAATTCCTAGTCTATATGTAATAAGGAGGTACAACTTTTACACTCTTGCACATTTTTGACATCTAAAATATTACTCTGAGGTCAGGGTTAAGCTCAGTGGTATAAGTGCTTGCCCAGCAAGCGTGAAGTCATGAGTTTAATCCCCAGAACAAAATAAAAGAAAAGAAAAGAAAATATTACTCTGAATTTCTGGGGTGTAGCTCAGTGGTGGAATGATCGCCTAGCATGCATAAAGTGCTAAATGCTAGCCCAAGCACTAGAAATAAAAAAAGCATTTATGCTATGGTTGGTGGTATATCCTTGTGACCCCTGGACTCAGGACTCAGGAGGCTTGAGGCAAGAGGATGGAAAGTTCTAGCCTAGAACTTCATAGTGAGACTTAGTCTCAAAAGAAAAGAAAGGGAAGGTATGTGGTGGGGATATAACTCTGTGTGAAGGTCCTGCATTCAATAACTAATATTGCAAGAAAAAAAAAAGTAAGCATGGGTGTAATGGCATACACCTCTCATCCCAGCACTCAGAGGCTGAAGAAAGAGGATTGCCACAATTTGAAGACCATCCTGGGCTACATGATGAGTTTAAGGCCAACCTGGACCACACAGCAAACCATTGTCTCAACCTCCCCCCACAAAAAAGGGAATAATAAATATTTCTCTGTGATACTTTAGAAGATAGTAACTGCCCATATTATATATGGGCTTCCCATGCTTGTTTATTTGCAAAAGAATCTTGCTATAATAGCCCAGACTAGCCTAAAACTTGCAGTCCTTCTGTTGTGGCAAAACTGAGTCCGGGGAAAGAACAACACCCAAAGTCAAGAGGCAGTCAACAGCTTTATTTTATAGCAGTGGTCCTGGCCGGAATAACTGCTAACAAAAGCTAGGCAGTTAGTGTCTGTGAGCCAACATTTTGATATGAGGCATAAGCAATGGTTGCAAAGGCAGGACAGGACAATCTGGCAGTTCTGGTTAGTTAGATCATTGGTTACAGGGCTAGATTAATGACCATCAGTTACAAGACTAAGACTAGATTAACGACCACAAAGCTTGGTACAATCAAGTATACTTAATGTTCAGTTATGCTAGCATGGTTATAGGGGTCAACAAAACAATTATAGGGGGCCAGGGATTTAGTTCAGTGGTGTAAGCACCTGCCTGGCAAATATAAGGTCATGAGTTGATCCCAGGTACCAAAAAAAAAAAAGAAAAGAAAAGGAAAAAGAAAAGCAAACAAGCAAGCAAGCAAGCAATTAGAGCCATGAAACAGTTACAGAGCTAGGCAGTGCACTTTTTTTCTGTACTGGAAACCAAACTCAGGACCTCAAACTTGCCAGGCAGGCACTTATGTTGCCTGAGCTATATCACCAGCAATTTTTTTTTGAGATAGAGGAGATACAGTATCACTGTATATATAGTTCAGGCTACCTTTAATTACTGGGATTGTAGTCATGTTCAACCACACCTGGCCTTTCTCAAATATCTCTTGTTAGATCCTTGTCCCTGTAGGTTATATTCATTGACATATGGGAAGCGTAGGGATCATAGCCAGTCCTCACTGTCAAACCCTTTGGCAAATTAAACTCAGCAGGGTTTATGAAGAAATAGGGTGGACATCTTGTCTGACTCAAAAGAGCGTGCTAATAATGTCCCCAAGACAACCTTCCCCTTTATGCACTTTGGTTTAAGGAAAACAGCAACAGATACAAAGATTCACAAAGAAACACACTTGCAGAGCCCTGTCAGTATTTGTCACTATGATCATATATTTGATGATGTTTTCCCATTCTAAAATAGAACTGTATCCTCTCCTGAGTGTTAATCGAGGAGTTGTATTTCAGATAAATAACTTTTCAGGAAATTCCTGAAAGAAACAATACATAGCCAGGGCCTGGTAGCATATCCCCATAATCCCTGACTCTTAGGGAGGCAAAAAGCAGGATTCCAAATTTGAGGCCACTTTGGACTACCTAGTAATTTTGTCTCAAAACAAAAACAATTATTTGCAATCTCACCTTCCCAATACTCAGATTCTGATTGTTGAGTGTAGATAATAATAGGGTATCTCGATGGAGACTGAGCCAATTGTGGTGGTACACACCTGTAATCCTAGCACTCTGGAAGCTAAGGCAGAAGATTGCTATAAATTTGAGGTCACTCTGGGCTACATAGTGAGTTCAATGCCAGCCTGAACCATATAGCAAGACCCTGTCTCAAAAAAATAAAAATAAAAATAAATGGTGACCAAGCCATCCTCTGTCTTCAAAGCTCTGTTTACTGTTGTAACTTGGCCAAGGTGCCGCTATCCTGTTCTGTAAGCATCATTACCCTGACCTGTGTTTCAACTCTCATTTCTTGTGAATTATCCACTTCCAGAACAGCAACTTGGTCCCTGAACCAACTGACCCTTGATTGTAAAACGTTTGCTGACCACTGATTGTAAAACACTCCGTCCTGGGACCAACTGGCCCTGGTTGTAAGACATTTTGCAGAGATTAACTCCCTTTTTGTATAAGCTTCCTCCCCTTTTCTCTTCTTTGCGGTTTTTCCTTTTAAAAACCCCCTGTAACCTAACCTGGTTATACACTTCTGCAGACTCCAATGCAGGCCGTGTCACTGGGTACCAGCTAAAATAAAGCGCTTCTTTTTAAAGACATCTTGCCCCGTTTTTTGAACAACATCTTGGGGCTCATTTTTGGGGTACATTTACTTTTGCATAAATGATACTGATATATCTTTGTACAGTTTGTCACTTAATATTTACTAAAGTTTGTTCAGCATCAAAGATCCTAGACCAGGGCTGGAGATTTAGCTCAGGGCATAAGTCATGAGTTTGATCCCTGGTAACCACAAAAAATAAAAAAATAAAAGATCATAGGCCAGTGGTGGCAAACTTATGGCATGCATGCAGCAGTGGACTATTTGTATCATTGAAAGCTCTTAAAAATTTAGCATCACTATGAGACTATACGCAGCAAGTCATTCCACAGTATGCATGCACTGTAGTTCATTTATGGACATTTATATTAGTTCTGCTTTTTTCACAATAAAAAATATACTGCCACCCAGATGTGGTCCCCACGTTTGTAGTCTCATCTACTGGGGAGGCTCCGGCAGTAAGACTGCAAGTTTGAGGCAGTTGGGGCAGTTTAGCAAGACTTTGTCTCAAAAGATAGGCTGGGCGTGGTGGCTCATGCCTGTAATCCCAGCACTTGGGAAGCTGAAGTAGGAGGATCATTGCAATTTCGAGACCAACCTGAGCTACAAAGTGAGCTTAAGGTCTCCCTGAACTGTATAGAGACCTTGTGACAAAAAAGGCACACACACACACACACACACACACACACACACAAAGATAAAAGGGGTTGGGAAGTAACTCAATGGTAGAGCCTTGGTGTACCATGCATAATGATATAGGGGAAGAAACTCACAACCTACTAGATGTCTAGTATGAGATCCTGCTCTCTAAAATTGAAGAATGAATTTTAGGAACAATGGAGGGTAAGAGCAGAGC